GTATCTTACACTTACAGCCCAAGTCAATTTGCACTAACCACACTTCACGTGCTCAGTGGCTAGTGCAGCCGGTGGCGAGCATATTGGACAGCGGAGCCTAAGACCACGTGGCTTGGGCCGCGGAACAGCACCTTCATTTCAAGGAGAGAAAAATGCAGGTAGGATGAGCCAAGGCACGGCAGCTTTGGGGGCTTGGAGAGGGGCTGAGAGATTCCTTCTTGGAGACTTTTCATTCTGGGTGGGCTTCTTCACAGGCTGAAGGCAATCTGAGTGCAGGGGTGTTCCTGAGCTCTGTTTCCCGGCCTGTGCTTCCAGTATCCCTGCATGCAGACAGTGCTGTGTGTGCCACCCAAGAGGCAGTGTGAGGTAGGGAGCTGAGCACTGGACTGGGTCAGGTATGTAGTTCCAAGCCCAGCTAGGCTTCAAACTCTGTGTGATGTGGGCAGGTCACATCCCCTCTTTGGGCTTCAGTGTCTGTCCCCATCTACCAGATAAAGAAACTGAAGCTCAGAGGAATTCACTGATTTGGCCAAAAGGACCAAGTTGGAGAGTCACACTCAGGCCCTGTGTATCAAATCCTGAACCCTGTCCACTACCCCATGCCCCAGGAAAATGGGGGCCCAAAAGGAGGAGAGAGAGAAAACCAAGGAAGGCACCCTGGAGGGGAAGTGCAGTATATTTAGGAGAAAGTAGAACTCACTTGACCAAACATCCCTCAGAAGTTTTCACACTTAAATACTGATCTGGTGCATCTGGTCCAACTGATGCTGAAATGCCCAGGCCGGGAGTCAGCAAGGCCTGAGTTCAGGTCTCAGCTGGCCACTTACCCACTGTGTAACTTGGGGCCTTTTACTTAACCTCCCTGAGCCTCAGTTTTCTCATCTATAAATTAAGATACCTGCACACAAGGGGCTTGTAAGGAATAAATGAGATCATTAGAATTAAGAGCCCAGAGAGACCATTTCTCAATCAGTCCCTCAAGTATAAATTAAGCCAACCCATTGCTCCATGTGCCCATGATTAACCAGGAGACCACCACCTGCCCCTTGCAATGCCCCAGCCTCATGTTACCTCTGCCTTCCTCAGACCTCCTCTCCTCCTAAGGATGCCCGCACACCCACCCTCATCCATGTGGCCCCAAGGAGCAGGGTGCTCAGAGGCATTTCTGCAGCCTGGCAGAGGGCTTCCTAGAAACTGCCGGTGCTGAGCCCCATGAGCGCCTAATGACCATGGGAATCACTTAGCAAGAGGAAGAGCCAGACCTTTGCCCTGGCCCCACTCGCAGGCGATGGGGTTAATCGGGAATTCTCTCTCCCTGCTCAGGGCTGCTGGTGGGGGTCCAGCTCCCGGATGACCTGGGGACACATTAGTCAGTGATAAGTGGGCTTTCCAGCCCCTTTTATCATGTTTACAATACACTGGCTCTTTTTGGACAAAACCCTGCCCCTCCACCTTGCTCCTGGCTGTTATGGCTACATGAGACAATTTGCTGATGGACTCTCCGAGGAGGGCAGCTTCCTGGGAGACCCCTCCCCACCTCCTGCAGCACCTGGGGCAATATCCCCTCCACCTGGTGGGTCCAGGCAGGGGCCACAGATGCTTGTTTTTTCTCAGCTCAGTGCAGCCTCTGAGTTCAGAAATGTCATCCTTTCTGTCTGCTCAGCTTTAATCGGAGGGGTTGGGGAGCAAACCCAGAGGCAGTGAGATTATGTTTCTCTGGCTTTGGTGGGGTGACTAGGGTTTTGTTGCCATTCAAAGTGGAAGCCGGCAGAGGTGTCTTACCCATGGCAGGCCGCCTTTGGGTCTAAGAGGAAGGATGATACAGTAGTTACTTGAAGCCTGGACCTGGTTTCCCTCTCCCGTTGTCAGCTTGATAAAGCAAATTAATTTCAAGTTAATTTCTCTGAAACTCAGGATGTTTGTCTAGAAACCCAGGATGGTGATGCTTTTCCTGCCTCCCACCAGGTGGTCATGAGCACAGAATGCGAAGCAGTTGTGAAAGTGCTTAAAAAGGAAGCATTTAGTTCAGCACTCTGCTCTGACTTCAACTGACAACTCCGTCAGCAGGAATGGCACCGCTGATCTATAATTGCCTAAAAGCCAGCTTTCAAGTAATTCTGGGCTTCTGACATGGCATCAAGGTAGAATCTTTAGGACAGTGGGGTGATTCAATGGAGTCCATTTCAAGTCAACAGATATTTAACAAGCACCTACCTTGAACCAGTCACTGAGCTAGAAATGCAAGAATGAAAGATACATCTCCTGCCCTCAGGCTAGTGGACAGAGAATTGTGACACTTGCGACACACGCTGAGAGGGAGCACCAGGTGCCAGAGGAGCATGGGGAGGAGTTCCAACCCTGCCTGGGCATCAAGGGTGCACCCTAAGGGAGGTGAAACCACAGCTGAGACTCCAAAGAGTGGGCGTTAATAAGGCTTGAGGCAGAGGAGAGGGTGTTTGAAGCACAAGGAACAGTGCATGCAAAGGCCAGAGGACACAAAAGCCCTTGTGAGAAGAGCTGCAATTCCTCTAGGTAGGATGAGGGAAATGGCCAGGGATGTGGCCAGTAAGGAGGGCTTTGACTGCCAAGTGTGTTCCTTAGGCACCAGGGAGCTATTAAAAGGCTTGACGTATATATGACCTCAAATCTCTGTGTTAGAAAGAGCTTTTGGGCAACATTGAAGAGGATGATTGAAAAGGGAAGGGAGTGGCTGAGGAATGATGAGGACCTTTCAACGGACTCTCACAGTTTAGTAGAGGAAGTGAGACATATTCTAGGCTGGAACCAATTGTTTGAGGTAGCGCTTGAGCATTGGCACAGGTGGGATAGACAATAGGGGCAAGGGGAGTGGTCAGGAGGAAACAGGAACAGAAGGTATGTGAGAAGGGGTGAAGCCCAGGGCTGGGGGAGTATAGGGAGCACTGATGGTTTGGTAGAAAGGTTAAGAGAATTAGTCTATTCAATTTGCTCGAGATGGCCAGAGGGACACAACAGATTAATGTAGTATCGGAGATACGCAAAACGTTTCATCAAATTGGACAGACCAAAAAGACTCTTCAGAGGGATGTGTTCCCAGTTTAACAACCATAAAGGGAACAAACAGGCTGACTATGGATTGGTTTGTCAAATCCTGGAACTACAGAATTATGGAGCATCTCTCGAAGTTTAAATAAAAAGAGAGAGTATGAATTTATCATTGTGATTTCCCTGAAATATTCTTGATTCCATTACCCAAGGCCCAAAGCCCTCCAGACAGTCCCCAAGGCCACAGGATGGAAGTAAGTCACTCATAGAAAATATCAGCAATGTAAATCAATTGGTTGGTCAAGTGGTTTAGCCATAAAAGAAGAAGAAATGGGATAGAAGTTCTAAGTGCAGCAAGATGGAAGGCTGGAGTTTTCACTTTAGAGGAAGGCCTGAACCCATATAAAGTCATAAAAGACAGGGGCAGAGGGGAGGTCCTCTGGACTTCAATTTCTTCATCTGCCGTACCCACGTCACAGGGATGCTGTGAAGTTAAAGAAAAACAAGATATAGGCATAAACAGTCTTTGAGAAAATTTAAAATTTCTATCCAACTTCTGAAGGCTTCCAACTACCTATAGGATAAAAATCTATAAATAAAAATCTAAGCATAATATTTAAGATTCCCCCATGATTCAGCTCCAACTTTTCTTCTAATACTATTATTGCCCCAAGCACCCTAAACGCAGCCACAGGAGACCCATGTTCTTTTCCCCATTTCCTTTTGCTCAGGCGACCCTCTTAGCCTCAGATGCCCTCCCCTTCATCTCCACCAGGCCCAAACGATAAACATTTACAGAGTGGTAATATGTGCAAGACACTGTCAAAATTCTGTTGTTTCTTGAAGGCCCTATTTGTGTTTTTTAAAAGTCCATGAACACTTGCTCTTCTCCAGAGAAATAGTTCTATCAATTGTAGCACTTATTCTACCTGATAATATCCCTTGAGGGCATGAATAGGCCTCCCAACAGACAATGAGAGAGGGAAGATTTGAGGGCTATCTTACTTGTATTCCTACCCCTAATATCTGTGCTTTGTCATAATAGGTGCTCATAAAGAAATATTAGAATAAATGGAAAAATGATGTGAAGGAAAGAATGTACACGATAGACAGTCTCTTGAGACACAAAACTGGGTGGGATCCAGGATACAGGAAAACAGTAGCATCAACTTCTCAAAGGAAGAGGAACGTCTCCTCCCTTGGGAGGAACCACAGATAAGCCTAGAGGGATGGAAATGGGTTAGGCCTAGGTGGAGAGGCCTAAGTGTCCAGATCCTGCGAGTCCTAATTCAAATGTCACCTCCTACATTGTCTTCCCAGAATCTCCTACCAGAGCCAACCCCCCCGCTCAGCTCAGTATATTTGGACTTTCTACCTTGTAGACGGTGTATTTGTGCACATATCTTATTTCCTTTCCGAGACTTCGACCTCTTGGAGGGCAGGAGGAATCTAGTTTAACACATAGTAACCTCTCATTCAATGTGGGTTTATTGGATGGATAAAAAGCGAGCTGGGTGGGGGTGGGGTAGGTGGGCGGGCAAGTGAGCAGACAAATTTGAGACAGGAGAAGCTTGTGCCAGAGACTCCAGCGGAGAGCTCATCTCCAGACCCACAATTAAACAGTTTAACGCGGAGCCTCGCAGGCACCTCCCCAGGCTCCCTCCAGCCAGAGCAGGTATCTGCCTATTTATCTCCAACCTTGCTCTGAGGACCCCACGTCAGTACTCTGCGACTGCCCTTGCCAGTGCCTGACTCAATGCTGAAGACAACCTGCCGCCAAAGCCTATACTTCCTCGTCCCCCATCTGAGGCTGAATCTCTTACTACAGTTAACCTTCTTCGCGCGGCCTCTTTCCTCGTTCCCTTTCCTTCTCTCGTAATCACCACCAGTAAGGCGTGAGGCGGGGCAGCCCTAGTCGGTAGGGGCGAGAGGGCCCTGAGACCGGAAGCCGAAAGCCGGAAGGAGGGCTGTGAGGACGTGTTCGGAGGAAGCCGGCGCCGGACCCGGCTGGGCCGGCGACATGGAGCCCCTGTACCAGCAGACGCACAAGTGAGGGCCGCGTCGGGCACGGGAGGGGCAAAGCCGGACTGCGTGAGGCCGGTCTCCCGGGCTGGGGCCTGGGGCTTCCGCCATTGTGGGGACTGAGTCCTTCCGCCGCGGCGCTGCTGGGGGCAGCTGGGAAGTGCTCAGTTCCTGGCGGGAGGCCCAGGTCGACGGCGAATGGAGGGTCTGGCCTGAGGCCTGAGACGTTGTGCCAGATGGCTCCTGGGACCTTCGAGGCCGTGACTACCTGCCGGGTAGACTAGGTGAAGGGAAAGTAGCATCTACAGGTTATAATACTTTGTCTCGCACCTGCCAACTCAGTGCTCCGGGTTGGTAGAGCTCATGGAGAGACAGGACCCTGCATGTAGTTTACCGTTTAGTTGGAGAGTCAGGGATTGTACGAAAGAAGAGCTAACGTGTGACAGGACAGGATGGAGGGTCAAATAAGCGGTACAGACAGCACCAGCTTAAGCAGCCTATAAGGATCCATCCCTGAGCTAATGTCAGAAGAAGTTTCATTATAGCTCGCAGCTCCTAAATGATGTCATCTCCACTCTTGATTTACCCTAATCTTGTTGCTACATTGTGATTTTTTCCCCCTTTTATTCTGACTTGCTTTATACTAAAGGCCATATTTGTATGGTACAAAGAAATTGCTGTACAATTACTACTACTTGTTATTCACACCCAGTTACCATTAAGTTACCATTAAGGAGGTCAGATTTTAGCTTCTCATAATTTAAATTTCTTGGTAGTGTCCTTTATTAATATTGTCCTGCATTTTTGAAATTTGCTGAGATATGTAGTTGAGTATGGTAATAGGCACTATACCTATCCTATTATTTGGAAAGGACTTTTATGATTTATTCCATTTTTATTGCAAAATATAACAGAATTTACCACTTGAGCCATTTCTCAGTGTACAAATCATTGACATTAAGTACATTCACAGTGTTGTGTAACTATCACTGCTACTCATTTCCAGAACTTTTTCACCTGCCCAAACAGAAATTCGATGTACCCATTAAGCAGTACCATCCCATTCCGCCCTCCCCAAGCTCCTGGTAACCTCTATTCTACTTTCTGTCTCTGAATTTTCCTGTTCTAGATACCTCATATACGTGGAATCATACAGTATATTTCCTTTTGTGTCTGGCTTATTTCACTTAATATGTTTTCAAAGTTTATCTGTGTTGTAGCACGTATCAGAGTATCATTCCTTTTATGCTTGAATAATATTCCTGTGTGTGTATACAAACCACATTTTGTTATCCATTCATCTGCAGATGGGTGCTTGGGTTGTTTCCACTTTTTGGCTATTATGAATAATGCTAATATGAACATTGGTGTAAATCTGTTTGAGTCCCTGTTTTCAATTTTTTGGAGTATATATCTATACCAATCCTATTTTAACAAATTTCAAATTTATGTTGTAGTTTTGTTCTGATGAAAATACTTAAAATCACACTCCTAGGGCCTGCAAATGAAATAAATAGGGACTTGCCTTCCTAATGAATTCACAACAAGAGAAGTGCTTTGGAGCATTAGGAATAAGGATGGTGATCCTCTTACTCTTCCATTTTCTAAGTGTATGGGTTTCTTTCTTTTTACTTTAGTGATTGGTTTGGGTGGGTGAGAATATAGAACCTACTTTGTAATGGTATTAAAATGACAGAATTTGCTCTTACACTGGAGAGCCCTGTTCTCATATGAAAAATTGTAGGAAGAGACTTGAAAAACTAGACCCATGAGTCAGTTGGAAAAGGAATGAAACAGAAAATAATGCTCGTGTTAATACGAAAGGGTAGATCTTTTACAATAGTAAGGCTCAGTGGGCTAAGTGTGCCTTATAAAGTTCAAATGTACAGCCTCATCCGGTTAGTTGATTTGGTTAAAGGATGTTGCTAAGGAGACTGTGACCAGTTTATTCTCAAGAATAATTTTATTTAGAGAGTCTCAGACTGTACCTGTTACCAGGGTAGCAGATAGTTGCTCACTGAGAAATCTGAGTAGCTCAATTCTGTGTTAACTTATGAAGAGGAGGAATACTAAATGGTGTCCCAAACAAGACTTGTGGAGTGTAGATGAAGTATTTACCTCTGCAGGCCTCCAACAATCTACCATTGGACTCTGTAACAGGGCTCATCAACTTTTTCTGTAAAGGGCCAGATAGTAAATATTTCAGGCTTTGTAGGCCATGCAGTCTCTGTGGCAGCTACTCAACTCTGCTGTTACAGCATGAAAGCAGACATAGACAATATGGAAACGAATGGGTGTGACTGTATTCCAATAAAACTTTTATTTACAAAAACAAGCAGTGGGCCAGATTGGGGTATCACTGTTAGGCCCTCTATTATGCAGTCACTCATTCATTCAGTGAATATTTATTGAGTATTATTATGGGTTGGGCACCAACTCAGTACTGGCAGTACAGCCCTACTTCAAGGAGTTTCCCTTTCATGCGTAAGTATATTCTTATCTGCTTTTCTCAAGTACTAAACTAGTGGAAGTTCTGCCTCTAGACCTCTTTGCCTTGTTTTTCCTCATCTATAAAATGACAGTTTTGAGCTGGTTAAACTGTATGACCCCTTTCAGCTCCTTAATACTGGTGATTGAGTGTCTTTAAAAGGAAACACGCAGAGTCCTGGGAGCATCAGAAATTAGCTTGTGCAGTTGAAGAAGTAAATGATTGTAGCTGAATTGACACAGCAGTAATTGAACATATTAATATTACCAGAACTTTGAACCCAATTTGTGGTTATCTCTTGCCATGTCCCCGAAGTACATTGGAATTAGATAAACATTTTAAAGTTATGTATCTTACAAATTCCTGAACTGCCTGAACAATGAATGGAGGAAAAAAATGAAAAGCAGAATAAACATTTTATACTTAATGCATTAGAATGAACTTTAAAGAGAAGCCAATAGCCAGGATTTTATTTTCAAGATCCCAGTGTTGTAAATGTGCCCCACTCGCCCCCTCTGTGGTCCTAGAAATTCTGATTCAGTAGATCTGGAGGACAGGAAGCTCTGGTTTTTAACAAGCTCTTCAAGTGATTTTTATGAGCAGCTGGACTTAAGAACTTTACCTTATGTCAAGTCCAGTTTTTCCTTTTTCAATTTTTTATTTTGCCTTTTATTTTGATGAGAGGCTGAATACTATATAGTAGAGGCAAAGTGGGAGAGGTGAAAATGAGCAGACGGTTTTACTGTTTTAAAGTTAAAACAACAAACTTGTATGATGCTGTAAGGGTACACAATATTTTCATACTGCATTTGGATCTGCTACCCTTTAAATAATTGTAATTATTACTATCCCTATTTTACAGTTGACGAAACTGAGGCATCAAGGAGTTAAATGACTTGTTCAGTGTTCCTCAGCTAGTACATAGTGGAACTAGAACTTCAACCCAGACCTTTTAACTCTAAAACCTTGTTTCCTTCTTTATGGTGGTGAGAGGCAGTGCGGATAGACTTTTAAAAAGCAAGTCTGTTTTAAGATGCTTCCCAGATCTTCTACTGACCCTTTTTAAAAAATCAGCAAGTGACCCTTGCTTACTTGCTCCTAGGTCTCTGCTTAGTTATGTTATCACTCAAGCCCACCACAGACCCCATGCTAGACTTCTGATTTCTGGTGTCCACACCCCCAGGTCTTACTAGTGTATCATCTGTTCCTTACTGGCTTCAAGTGTATTGTCTGAATTCCATGTTCAGTTTAAAACAGATTTTCCACTTGGCACATAGTAGTTCCCACCATGCCATGCATACTTGCTTTGTTGTTTTGCATAGATTTCCTCTCAGGCATGAAATGCAGAGATTGGAATCACTTTATTGGCTATATTTTTTTCTGATTCATTCAAAGCAAAAAGAGATTGGATGGGAAAAGTAATGTTTCCCAGCAACTTAAAGTTTGTCCTTTTTAGCTTAGAAAATAGTAAAAGCCAGCTGAATGGTGTTACAGGGTTTTGTAGGTGTTGGCCTCATCTTCCCCACTGTCCTCATAGAATTTAAGAATTGAAAGGGACTGGCGAGATCTTCTGTTCCACCTCACTCTGGTCAGGAAAACCCTTTGTAAGACCCAAGACAGTCCATGTACCCTGTGTTTAAACATACAGGAGCTCTTTTTTTCCTTTTTTGAAGAGATAGTTCATAATTGTGTGTGTGTGTTGAGCTGGAATCTGTTATCTTGAAATTTGTATCTTACTATTTTTTATCCTCACCCGAGGATATTTTTTTCTATTGCTTTTCAGAGAGAGAGAGAGAAATATCGATGTGAGAGAGACACTTCAATTGGTTGCCTCCCACATGCACCCCAACCAGGGCTGGTGATCGAGCCTGCAACTGAGGTATGTGCCCTTGGCAGTATTCGAACCCGGACCCTTCAGTCTTCAGGCTGCTGCTCTAACCATTGAGCAGGACCAGCTAGGACAAAATTTGTACCTTTTAGTACTGGTTCTCCCTTTAGAAGCAACAACAGAGCAAGCCCATTCCTCTCCCTATAGGTCAGCTCTAGGTAACCTGAAGAGCACCAGCTGCTCCACCTTACTTTTCTTTTTTCTTTTCTGAGAGGCTTATTATCACTAGCCCTTTTGACCTTTTCTGTTTGACTTGACTTCTAAACATTTCCCCAGTCATCCTGTTCATCTCCCATTGGGGAAAACCTTTAATTGATAGGATTTCTTTAACAGATTGCTCCCAGAATTGAATGTCATTCTGTAGTGTGCATTTGACTTTTTCTTTTTAATCTAAAGTCAGAATACTTTTTAATCGCTGTTTTAGCCTAAATGGAAAATGTTAATGTTTGTCTTGTTATACAGTATCCCAACCCCTTGTTCTAGCACAAAATCATATGCAGATTTCATAAACATAAATTGTTGGTTTTTTTCAATATTGAATGAAACAGAACCAAAGGAATTGCTATGGTGGAACATTGGAAATCAATCCTTCAATCTGTAATATCATCAAACCATATTTACCATAAGATAACATGAAAAACTATCAAATGCCTCTTGAAATCAACATAAACTTGTGGTGGTATCCTCAGTATATTGCTCCTTTCCCACTATAGGCACACCTGTAGTTTTATTTCCCACTTGCCCATGGACCATTATGATTGTATATCCCACTTATTTGTTGAATGAGTGAATGAATGAATGGCTGAGTAAGTAAATAAATGATCCTAGTTAAACCACTGACTCTTAACATCCAAAAAATCTGTTGCATGTAGTTATTTTATCTATGAAACATTTCAAACATAAAAATAGAGAATAATATAACTTGTGTGTTAGGACTCAATACATATGCTTCAGGTCATTGATTTAAAGACAGAAGTAGAACTGAATCTCACACCCATTCTCTTCCCTTCCGAGTACCTATTCTAGAAGTAGAATTCTGGGTCATAGAATATACACATATTTGACACCATCAGTTATTGTCAAAAAGCTATTAAAGCTTGGCCGGGCATGGCTCAGCAGTTGAGCATTGACCTAGGATCCAGGAGATCGTGATTCGATTCCCCATCAGTGCACATGCCCAGGTTGTGGGCTCTATCCCCAGTTAGGGGCTTGCAGGAAGCAGCTGATCAATGATGACTCTTTTATCACTGATGTTTTTATCTCTCCCCCTCTCCCTTCCTCTCTCTGAAATCAATAAAGAGATATATATATTTTAAAAAGGCTATTAAAAGTGTTTCTACCAGTTTATAATCCTATCAGACACATATGAGAGTTCTAGTTTCCCCACATCCTTCTCGATGTGTGTTATCAGACTTTGAAATATTTGCTAATCTAATGGGAGAAATGTGATAGCTCCTTATTTTTAATTTGCATTTTTCTGATTACTAGTAAAGTTGAGTGTCTCTTCATATATTTATTGACCATTTAGGTAACCTGTTCGTTGGTTGCCCTTTGTCCATTTTTTAAAAATTGCTTTGTTTGACTTTTCCTATTGATTTGTAGGCATTCGTTATATATCCCAGACATTAGTCCTTTATCTGCTACAGATATCTTCCAGTCTTGTCTTCTGGGGTTTGTGGGGTTTGGAAGAGTTAGTTTTGTTTTGAGTCTTGTTTAAGAAATCCTCCTTTTACCTGAAGTCATAATATGCACTCCCATATTTTCTTCAGAAGGTTTTAAAGCCTTGCTTTTTACGTTTTCAACCATCTTGAGTTTATTTTTGTATATTACGTGAGATATCTTTTTTCCATATGGATAACAAACTGAGCCGTTAGCATTTATTATAGTCCATTGTTTTCCCACTGATTTCTGTTTCCAAATCCCCAAATATGTAGGACTGTTTCTGGCCTTTATTTTTTCCTCGTGAGTCAAGGTTAGGGTTGGTTGTTGGGGGTAGCATAAGCAATTCCAAGGACTAATCCCAGGGACCACTAGGAAGGGTTCTAAGGATGACCTTGGCCAAGCCTTGGGAAGCCTTCAGAGAGTACTCTGGAGCCTGATGTCTGGGACCATGCCAGAGGTCCAAGGTAGAGTGTTGTATCTCCAAATGAGATGACAGTTGCCTCATATTGTCAGGGGAAGATGTTTACCAAACAGCAGGTCCCTTTCTTTGAGGGCCTTCCTCTGATGGTCCAACTAATCACCTCATCTTCATCTCCGCTCTGACCCCAGTTCCCTTCCAGGAAGGCTGGCCTCCTTGTAATCCCCATGACATGCTTTGCATGCCTTTTTTGCATATCATTTTCTTTATATCTTCTTTCATCACATCATGTCCCCCTTCAGAATGATGTTCAGAACTCCCTTCCCCCACAGAACTCCAGTCTCCTCTTTCTCAGCCCCAGCCCTTTGGTTCACTTGTCTTTGCTGCGCACCACAATGCTTAGCTCCTCAGCTTTCTGTTTGTTTACACTTACATGTGTTAGTTTTCTCTTAAATCTTCTTGCGACTTTTCTTGTCTATCTGGGCTGTCATTCCTAATTACGTTGTTTCTCAAGGACAAGGATTATCTCTCTCTTGCCCTTTGACTCTCCCTAGTACAGACCAGTGCTCAGTACATTGGGTCAAACAACAGAGAGAGGGATTGGCTGGGTCCAGATCGAGGTTTATCACTTGCTATGTGACCTTGAACAAGTTACCTAACCTTTCTGGACTTCAGTGGTCTTATTTATAAAATGAGAATGATAATACTTTCCTCATAGGGTATTGACTTTGCAGAATGTCTCAGATGTGGGAAGCACTCAATAAGTGCTGCTTATCAGTGTTATTATTAATATTAATGTTAAAATATTATAAACCTGGTAAAAACCTGTAAAACACGTGGCCTAAAATGCCACATACAAATTTTACAGTCTAGTGATGCTGTCAGTTTAAATCAGTTACATGTTGGCATCAGAAAAATTATCTTTCCTGACTGAAGCGCTGTTGATTACTCCTGTCTCACCCATTTCCTCCCTCTTCCTTTGATAGGCAGGTCCACCAGATCCAGTCTCACATGGGACGCCTGGAGACGGCAGACAAGCAGTCTGTGCACTGTGAGTAATTAGCTATGGAGACCAGAGTCCTTTCTCTGATGACACGGTGCTAATGGGCTGGGTTTCCTGACTGCATTTCTGCCTCAGGGGCTTAATGATTCAGCGTAGAATGAGTTCTGTTGTTAGGGTGCAAAAAACCCTATGGCACAGTCACTGATTTTCCTGATTGTGCCCTTTGGAATCCCGCAAGTCGCATCCCCCATTACCCCTCCACTCAACCCAACATGGCCCTGTGGGAGTGGAAGTTCTTTCCTCCATCTGTCTTAATCTAATTACCTAGTCCTTAGAGGAATGTGCTCCATAAAAAGTCAGACATGTTTAACTGGAATTGGTCATTTCTTCTGAGCTGAGAACTGTGGCTTTTTAGGAGGATTATTCAGAAGTGAATAGCAATATTAGTTTAGTTCCCACACCATGGTTTTGCTGGAGAAGAGGGCTGCTTTGCGTTTTTTAGTTTCTTTTCTATCATAAGTAAAGGTCCTTTTTCTGAGTCGGTCAGGCAGACACTGCTGGCTACACACACACTGCAGAAGCTGCCTCCTCACCTTGCCGGTTCGCTGTTGCCCTGCCCGTTTCTCCTGTCTCCGCAGCTTCAGAAGCATCTCTTCTCTTGGTTCTCTGCTCCACTTTGTTCTAATCTGTATTTGTTAGCTAACCTACAAAAGTGACATTGCTGTCATTTCTTTATGGGGCAAGAAGCCATCTGGATGCCTTCTTTTGTGCACAGTTTAGTTTCTGTCCATCGACTTTGTTTGCCTTCCCAACAATCTCATTGTTACATGATTAGAAATGGAAAAGAGGTCATTTTGACAGTTTATCACAAGGGATAAGGAAAATGACTGTGTTTATCATATCTTCACCTCTGTGGATTCTTTCCTGGGCCTTTCCTACTGATATTTGGTCTATTTTGGGGACTTCAGCTTCAGCCCACCCATTCTTATGGAAAGCCTTAAGGGAACTCTTCCCTGTGTTTCAATTACTAATCTTCCCCTTTGTGCTTTTTTTAAAACCTCATTACTGTAGGGAATTCAATTGGAAGTCTTTTTACTAGATATTTATAATCTATACCTGAGAAGAATAATCTCGAAAAGAGACTTCATTCTGTATCAGAAAATACTGACTTTTGCTTAAAATTTTTTTGGACAACCTTTTCATGTTTGTTTTATTTTCTAAGGTCAGGAAATTTATTTCTACAGATTTACCTTCAGCTTTTTAAAAATTGGCATTGTTATGGCATTAACAGCTATATATACATATTTGAAACAACATTTATAGTCAGTATAACTTGAACTTCTTTCTGTTATTCAATAGTGTATGCATTTTTCTTCTTTTGAGATACTGTACATAATTTTGAGTCTCTTGGGTATGGAAAATGATATGTTTGATTTACCATTCTAATTGAAGTTCACTATCTCTTTTCCAGCAATTATTCTTTTTTCTCTTTTGTGCAGTAGTAGAAAACGAAATCCAAGCAAGCATAGACCAGATATTCAGCCACCTAGAACGTCTTGAAATTTTGTCCAGCAAGGAGCCCCCTAACAAACGACAGAATGCCAAACTGTAAGTGCTCTAACACCCCAAGTCCTCAAGACAGGCCTTTCTTCCAGAGGAGGCTATTGAGTGGTCTGAGAATACATTTACACACTGAAAAACGAAGACTATGCAAATATAAAGTCCCGAAAAAGGACGCAAGTCTATTCTCTCAGAATAAAAATTCTGTGACATTAGTGGCTCAGAAGTTTTGTGTCTCCTTACCTCATTGGTGTAATCTTGAAATTTTGCCTCCAGTACTGTTTTTCTGGTCCAAGCCCATGGCCACTTGAAGCCTAATACTGCCAGTGAGTTTACTCTACCCTTTGGTTCCCACTACATTCTTGGGTTGAAATGAATCTTGCTCTTAATCACTTCAATCAGTCTAATTATAATGAAATACCGATCTAATGTTTGATAGTCCCCCATGAAATTAAAATGAAACCACTCTCACCACCTCCACCCCAGCCCCTGCTCCCAAAAGTTTTATGAAACTTTGTTGATGCTTTACTCCAAAGATGCCCTTGGGCTTCTTCCAGGAGAGTGATATAATCCATAGAAGGTCAGGAAGAGGTCATTGAGCCTGTTTCCTGTCACCTGTTCCCTGTCATGCATCCAGAATCAGAGACCAGCAGGTATTTAAGTAAAGCTGCTGGAATCTCGTGTGCTACAACCCTACTTGAACCACAAGCTACTTCTTTATTTTCAACATCATTGATCAAAATCAGATTAATTGGGGTGGGGGGACAGCATGGAGTGGTATAGGAAGAAGTAAGGAAATGTCCTTTCCTGAGTACAAAGCCTGGCCACCTCAAATTGTGCCACCCTGGGTCCCTGGAATGTAATATCTCTATCAATTCCAGCCGTGTTGACCAGTTAAAGTATGATGTCCAGCACCTACAGACTGCTCTCAGAAACTTCCAGCATCGGCGATACGCAAGGGAGCAGCAGGAAAGACAGCGAGAGGAGCTTCTGTCTCGCACCTTCACCCCCAACGTAAGCCAGGCACCGGGGGGGTGGGAGTCTGCAGGTACTTGACAGCTCGTTGGAGCAGAAGCTCATGTCTCCAAGCTTTATCCTTTTAGGTGGTGTCTTAAGCAGACCGATGAGGAGGAGACCAACTGGAAATGACAGTGGACCTTGTGTGTTGCCACGGAGACTATACCTAGACAGGGAATTTCTTTTTCTAACAGAAACCTGAAGAGGAAGCAGTTAACTTGAGGGAATGGGCAGGGGTGAAAATTACCTGGTTTGACTGGTCCGACGTAGAGAGGTCGTGGTTGACATGGTGGAAACGTTTTTTCTGATCAGATAGAGACAGATGATTAGAACTTAGGCCATTTTTAGTGAGGGCAGCATTTCAAAGCTGCCTTCGGGCAGTTGCTATTATGCTGTGTATGTGTGTGGTTCCAGTGTCCGATGCATTAGAGTGTTTTTGTCCCTAGTCTGAGCAGCAATTTTGGAGGAATTTGTTAACAGATATTTTGTTTTAGATGGATTGCTTGACTTGAGCCTCTTTGAAAGTGGCCTCTTGGTTTGCATGTTTGATTTTGTAGAACACCATTGTCCCTGCCCTCTGATCTTAGTAGGATCATTTTCTGCACACAGCTATAGGACACACTGGCCTTTTTCATGTTCTGCGTATTCTACCAGATGAGGTGGGTTTTGAGGTGGGTTTTGGTTTTTTGTTTTTTTTAATCGAGATGTTTATTTTCTAAAGAGGTCTTAGCTTTCTAATCCTGCCATCAGAATTCAGATCAGTTCCTGCTTTGCAGATGTTTAACGCTCTGCTGTGTCCACACTTGCAGTAAATTTCCCCAAGTGTTTCAGAATCTGCCTCCATAGTTTCTGTTTCTCTAGAGTACGTAGTCAAGTAACAGTGACTAACAATTCACAAGTGTGATGAAGATGTGTTGGTGGTATGGGGTAAGCATAGCCAATTTTCAAAAGTGTAATGAACTGTATGACACTCTGGAAGATGTTATGTGGGTTTTGATTGTTACTTAGGCGGGTTTTTTGGGCTGGGGATGATGGCTCAGGATCATCTGTTGTCTCACCAGTCTGCTGTGATGCTGTGTATACAGTGGGCTGTTATTAAAACTCGACGTGCTGAATGAACTTCTTCCTGGTTATTCTGTGATCTGGGACTGTCATACATTTTTCTGAGAGATATTGGCTCATCAGCTATACCCTTTCAGGTGGGAAAGTAAGAAAGATTTGTATGTAAAAGGCATTCAATAAATGCTTGCCAAATAAATGAAGAGAAGTCTCGTAATTGATTCAAACACTGCAGTGTTTCGACCCACCGAGCATTAGCTGTATGTAGAACACTATTTAAGGTGCTGAGAATAAAACGTGTGAGAAACACCTGTATTAGCAAGGGGGATTGAAAATGTATTGCTGAAAAATGATTTTGAACTTGAGCATCAAAGAAAAGATGGCTTAACCTCTTTGTGATGATTAAAAGTGGTAAAAGTGGCCCCAGCCAGTGTGGTTCAGTTGGTTGGAGCATTGTCCTATACACTGAAAGGTCTTGAGTTTGATTCCTGGTCAAGGGCACATACCTAGGTTGCAGGTTGGATCCCTGACCCTGGTCGGGGTACATGCAGGAGACCTATTGATGTTTCTCTCTTTCTCTCTCTTCCTCTCTCTCTGAAAATCAATGAGCATGTCCTCAGATT